CTATATTATACACCGAAACAAATTTCAGATTAATTTAAAAATCAAAAGAAAGAATTCAAACAACAATCAATGAAAATACAGCTTACTATTTGATCTTAGACTAGGGAAGGAAAGCATAAACACTATGGAAAAAAGGTTAAAATATTCATACTATGCCGTCTTATATAGTCATTAAAAATAAAGTTTTTTCAAAGATTTTCTAGAAACCATGGAAAATGCTCATGCAATGATGAGAAGTAAAGAAAGCAGGATACTCACACCTGTAATCCTAGCACTTTAGGAGGCCAAGACAGGCAGATCATGAGGTCAGGAGTTCGAGACCAGCTTGGCCAATGTGGCAAAACGCTGTCTGTACTAAAAATACAAAAATTAGCCAGGCATGGTGGCATGCACCTGTAATCCCAGTTACTGGGGCGGGTTAGGCAGAAGAATTCCTTGAACCCAGGAAGCGGAGGGTGCAGTGAGCTGAGATTACACCACTGCACTCCAGCCTGGGTGATACAGCAAGACTCCATCTCAAAAAAAAAAACCCCTCAGAAATTTGGATAATTATATTTTAAAAACTGGGCCAGGCACAGTGGCTCACACCTGAAATCCCAGCATTTTGGGAGGCCCAGGCAGGCAGATCATGAGTTCAGGTCTTCGAGACGAACCTGGCCAACATGGTGAAACCCCATCTCTACTAAAAATACAAAAAAATTAGCCAGGCATGGTAGCAGGCGCAGTAGCAGGCACCTGTAATCCCAGCTACTCAGGAGGCTGAAGCAGGAGAATCGCTTGAATCCAGGAGACAAGCTTGCTGTGAGCCAAGACCATGCCACTGCACTCCTGCCTAAGCAACAGAGCGAGACTTCATTTCAGAAAAAAAAAAGTTTAAGAAACTACATATACACATAAAAAAGATTGGTAGATACACCAAGATGTCCTTTCATCTCTTGGATGATGGTCATCTCTGGATGATAGATTTTTCCTTTCTTTTCCTTTCTTTCTTTTTTTTTTTTTAGACGGAGTTTCCCTCTTGTCACCCAGGCTGGAGTGCAATGGCACAATCTCAACTCACTGCAATCTCTGCCTCCTGGGTTCAAGTGATTCTCCTGCCTCAGCCTCCTGAGTAGCTGGGATTACAGGCACCTGCCACCACCCGCAGCTAAATTCCATTTGTATTTTTTTTAGTAGAGATGGGGCTTGACCATGATGACCAGGCTTTCCTGACCTCAGGTGATCCCCCTGCCTCAGGTTCCCAAAGAGCTGGAATTACAGGAGTGAGCCACTGTGCCCGACCTTTACTTCCCACTTCAAGTTTTTAGCTTCCTCCAAATTTTCTACTATGACTACTTTTTTTATAATCAAAAAGTAACTTTTTTTCCAAAGAAATTGGGCAGGATAAGAGTATGAATAAACAGACCAGGCATGGTGGCTCATGGCTGGAATAGCAGCACTTTGGGAGGCCAAGGCTGGAGAATCAGTCGAGCCCTGCAGTTCAAGACCGGCTTGGGCAACATAGTGAGAACTGTCTCTACAAAAACTTTTGAAAAAAGAAAAAGAATAGCCAGGCGTGGCGGCACAAGCCTGTAGTCTGAGGCATGGGACTTAGGAGGGTGAGGCAGGAGGATCACTTGAGCCCAGGTGGTTGAGGCTGCAGTGAGCCACAATCGTGCCACGGCACTCCAGCAGCAAGGTACTCCAGCAGCAAGACCCTGTCTCAAAAAATAAAAATAAAAATCCAATTCATCCACTAAAAACCAACAGCTTAAAAGTATTCATAGATGTTAAACACATGTTTCACATGTATGACCTATTCAACCATTTTTTTAAGTTAAAAATTTTTTCAAAAAAACATAAGGTTTTTTATTTTGTTTTGTGGTGTTTCTTTCTTTTTCTTTCTTTCTTTCTTTCTTTTTTTTTCTTTTGAGATGGAGTCTCGCTGTAGCCCAGGATGGAGTGCAGTGGTGCGATCTTGGCTCACTGCAACCTCCCCCTCCCAGGTCCCAGTTCAAGCAATTCTCCTACCTCAGCCTCCCTAGGAGCTGGGATTACAGGTAAGAGCCAGCATGCCCAACTAATTCTTATATTTTTTAGTAGAGACGGGGTTTCACAATGTTGGCCAGTCTGGTCTTGAACCCCTGACCTCATGATCTGCCCACCTCGGCCTCCCAAAGTGCTGGGATTACAGGCGTGAGCCACAGTGCCTGGCCGTTTTTCTGTGTTTTTGCTTTTTTGGGTTTTTTTTTTTTTTTGAGATGAAGTCTCACTCTGTCACCCAGGCTAGAATGCAATGGCACAATCTCAGCTCACTGCAACCTCTGCCTCCCAGGTTCGAGTGATTCTCCTGCCTCAGCCACCCAAGTGGCCGGAATTACAGGCACGCACCACCATGCCCGGCTAATCTTTTGTATTTTTAGTAGAGACAGGGTTTCACCATGTTGGCCAAGCTGGTCTCAAACTCCTAACCTCAAGTGATCTGTCCGCTTCAGCCTCCCAAAGTGTTGGGATTACAGGCGTGAGCCACCAACCCGGCCTAACCATGAGGTTTTTGTAGGAGCAGTGGAACCACCACAGACAACTCTCAAGTACCACACTGCCTGAGCCCCTCCTCCTACCTTTGGGAGGCAAGGAAGAGGTGGCTGGCATTTCCTCCTCTGGCCCTACCAGGGGGATGCCACCATCTCGCCACATAGGCAGAGAAGCCAGATTTGCACACTGACTTGGCCACCAGCCTGGTCCCTTCCTAAATGAGCTATGAGGGCCTACGAGAGCCATTTCTTCCAAAAGGCCCTACTTACTCTCCAGCCTGTGAGCTGTCAGGCACGTGCAGCAGCCACACAAAGCCTTCCCTGGGCCATTGTGAACTTAACACACCAGTGGCCAAAACTACATGAGACCAGGCATGAGCAAGAGTCAGGAACAGATTTCAGAAAGTCTGGTTTGAGGCCTTGAAGTTTGCTTCACTCCACTCTGAACTACTGTTCCTACAGTCTGACCTCAGCAGTCATGAAATAAAACCATTTCCCATAGTCACTCTTGAAACCAGTCTTCCCCTCCTTCTGCCATAAAAGTTCTCTCCATGGAAAAGCCTCTTCTTTTCTCCAAAGCATCCTTTCCCCTTTGCCCTCTGCAAGGTGCTATATCAGCTTCCCTTCACTGTTGTGTGCTTCCCTTAACTGCCCTGAGAAACCACCTGTCCTCTGTCCCTACCCCTGGGAAACACTGCTTTCCTCCTGTTCCCCCAGGAAGCCATTCCTTGACCCTGCTTCCTCCACTCCAAGAAACAGTCTCATCTTAGTTCCCACCAAAACCAACGGTTGTTTCCACTTAAGGTTACCAGATTTAGCAAAAAGAAATACTGGGCTGGGCACAGTGGCTCACGCCTACAATCCCAGCATTTTGAGAGGCTGCTGTGGGCAGATCACTTCAGGTCAGGAGTCTGAGATCAGCCTGGCCAACATGGCAAAACCCCATCTCTACTAAAAATACAAAAATTAGCCAGGCATGGTTCTTCACGCCTGTAATCCCAGCTACTTGGGAGGCTGAGACACAAGAATTGCTTGAACCCGGGAGTTGGAGGCTGCAGAGAGCTGAGATCGCACTGCACTCCAGCCTGGGCAAATCTATCTCAAAAAAAAAAAAAAGAAGAAGAAGAAGAAAAGAAATATTGGACACCCAGTTTCAAAAATAAACAACCAGTATTTCTTAGTGTAAATATGTTCCATCTATTTTATCCACCCCAGCCCCCCCTCTTGAAACACGTTTCCTTCTGCCACTAATAAGAAACACTGTCTTCTTTTTGTCCCACTGTAAAAACATTCTGTCTGGCTGGGCACAGTGGCTCATCCCTATAATCACAGCACTTTGGGAGGACAAGGTGGGTGGATCACGAGGTCAGGAGATCGAGACTATCCTGGCCGTGGTGAAACCCCATCTCTACTAAAATACAAAAAAATTAGCTGGGCGTAGTGGCACGCACCTGTAGTCCCAGATACTCAGGAGGCTGAACCTGGGAGACGGAGGTTGCAGTGAGCCAAGATCACACCACTGCACTCCAGCCTGGTGACAGAGCAAGATTCCACCTCAAAAAAACACAATAAATAAAAAACACTCTGTCCCACTAAACCTCTGAAATGATGCCCCCCATACTCCTGAAACATGAAGCTATAACCAAAAGGGACAAACTGTTTCCTTCCTGCCCCTCTCAATCCCGCCCCTCAAGCTCCTTAATGCTGGCAACCCATCTGCCTCTTTGAGGAGGGGACTTTCCACTACCCCTGTCTCCACACAAAACATCGTCTTTTCTCTGTTGGCTACCTGCTCCCTAGAAGATGATGACACTCCTGTTATCAAGCAAAACAGTTCACCTCTGTCTCCCACCATAGTCATATCTGATCCCAACTGCCACTTACTTCGTTCTTAGTGGGCACCAGATTCTTACAAGAGCCCTATGAAGTAGGTATTGGTATTATTATTATTCCAGTTTTACAACTTGCTCTAGATCACACCAGGTTAAAGGCAGTCAGATTTGCATATAGGTATGCCTGGCTCCAGAACCTTAGCTAAACCCAGGTTCAACCAGCATTTCCTGGACATTCAGCTTTGTTAAAAATCTAATGAGCAGCCAAGTTGTGACCTGCTGTACACTATAGTGCATGCCTGCTCCTCCATCTGCCCTGTGAAACACTGTTGCCTCAGCAGAGCCCATAGAAACTCTCCACTGGCCCCCTTTCCCACCCCAGAGAATACTATATTCCTGCACCTCCCTCACTTGGCCGCAAACTCCTACACTCTCAGAGGCACGTTACAGTCAGGCTGTGCTCCCCACATGCCTGGCATCTGGAGACTGGCTGGGGTGAAGGAGAGGCCTGTGGTCCCCTGCTGCTGGCACTCCAGCCCCTCCCCACCCCTTTCTATAAATAGGCCACTGCTCACTGGCTGCCGAGCAGTTGCAGCAAGAGTTTCCATGAGGTCAGCTTCCCAGAGTGGCCTCCAGGCACCCAACACCCACTTACCTCTCCTGGAGTCCTGTGGCCTGCTCGTCCCTGCAAGGGGCTGTCCCGGGTGCCATGTTTCCGCCGGGTAGGAGGCGTCGGCACCTGGACAGAGGCCTGAGATGGGGCCTTCCCTAAGTTCTGGGCCCCACATTCTGGAGCTTGACTCGGAGAAGAAATGGGCTTGCTGTCGGTGGTGGCCTCCCCTTTGGGCTTTGGAGGGGCAAATCTCTTTCTGTTGAAAGGCCTGGTCAGCTGGGGGGCCAAGGAGGGTGTGGGTTGGCCAGGAGCCGCAGGCACCCCCTCGCCTCTAGCCCTAATGGGCGCTGTCCCTTTGGGACTCTCTCCAGGCTCCTGAACACTCAGGGGCTGGGGGCCCTCTTCCTCCAGAGGCCTGACTGCCTGGGTGTTCTCCAGGTACATGTCCTTCAAGGAGAAATACACTTCCTGGCCTGGGCCTGGGCCAAGGGCCGGGGCCGGGGCCTTCTGGGCCTTGTCTGGAGTGCCCCCAGCAGAGGCTGGCTTCCTGGTGCCATCTGTGGCAGAGGACCCAGGCCCCCGTGCAGCCCTGCCTCTTGACTGGGTCTGAACCTGCTCCACGCCCATGTGCCCCCGAGTTCCGCAGGAGTCAGGCTCGTCTGAGTTGGGGATGCCATTTTCCGAAGAACGGCGGCTTCGGGCTGCCTTCTCTAACTCTGGCTTCTTTAGGCCCTGCTTGGACTCCTCATCTTTCTTTTTCTTCTTGGCCCCACTCTCCTCTTTGAGGGCTCTCGGAGGCCCCAGCTCCATGGCGTCACAGATGTATGTCAGTAAGCCATGCTCCGCGTCCTCCCCATTCTCGGGGGCAGCCTCCCCGTTGGTGGTCACTTTTCCAGGAGCAAAACTGTTGATCAGGCCCAAACCTGAGTGCTGAGCAGATTCAGTCTCTCCCTCCTGCCAAGCCGCCAGGGCCCCACCCTCGGACTCCCTGGTAGGGACCGCGGGGCCTGGCGCTTCGGCCCCGCTCAGCCGGCGCTTGCGCTGGAAGCGGTCGGGGCTGAGCTTGCGCAGCGTGTCTGCCTCCGCAGGCGCAGCCTTCTCGTGCTTCCAGCTCTGCTCGATCTCGCGCAGCTTCGCGGCAGCCTTGCGCTTCAGCTTGGCGAACCAGCGCTGGTGGAGCTTGTACTCGGTCATGGTGCCCACCTCCAGGACCCCTGAGCAGGACACAATGCCTTTGCTGTTCCGGGCAGAGGCCTGGTAGATGGCGGCATCTTCTTCTCGACACCTACAGGTAGGAGCGTGAGGTGCCACCTGTCCCCTCCTGGGAGGTGAGAGCCCCCCACGCCCCCCAGCCAGAGCCGTTCAGAGCCGAGCATGCTTCCCCCTCCCCACGGCAAGTCCTGCCGTGTGCCACACCCCACCTCACACATCACAACATACAACACCCTCCATTACAGTTGAGGCTGGCAAAAGGGTGGCAGCTGACCAAGGCCATACTGTCCCAGGAGGGATTAGACTTGGGGCCCAGGAGAGCTCTCTTCAGAAGCAGGTGACCAGCACATCCCCTTGTGAAGACATGATGATACAGTTGCTTTTTTTGGCCGCTGACCTCACGGAAAATATTTCCATAGGTCAGGACCTCCTTTGGCTGCACCAGCTCTCTGATTGTCAGGAACACTCCCACCCTGGCCTTAGGAGCTCCCAGACACTGGAAGGCAGATGTGGTTCACCAGGTGGTTCAACCACACAGCAGAATCCTGCCCTCCATCCCAGACAGTGCCTGGGCATCTCCATCCAGACTGCTCCATTTCTGAGGGCAGGGCCCCAGCCAAAGGCTGCTGGGGAGGGCAAAGAGAACAAAACAGGCCCTTCTCCCTCACCTGTACAGCTGCAGTGTGTGGCGGTTGCCCTGATGAGTGATCTCATATTTTGGCAAGCCACAGTAGCGGTCCAGCTCTGTATCATCCTTGTACCAGGTCACCTCTGGCTCTGGGTATCCTGAGAAAGAAGCAGGAGATTAGGTTGCAGTAAGGCCGGTTCCAAAATAATCAGAAGAGGCTGGGCATGGCAGCTCACACCTGTAATCGCAGCACTTTGGGAGGCTGAGACAGGCAGATCACCTGAAGTCAGGAGTATGAGACCAGCCTGGCCAACGTGGTGAAACCACATCTCTACTAAAAATACAAAAATTAGCCAGGCGTGGTGGCAGGCTCTTGTAATCCCAGCTGCTCGGGAGGCTGAGGCAGGAGAATCGCTTGAACCCGGGAGGCAGAGGTTGCAGTGAGCCGAGATCACGCCACTGCACTCCAGCCTGGGCGACAGAGTGAGATGGATGCTAATAATAATAATAATAATGGGAGGAAAGAACGCAAGGCCGTGGCTTCCCAGGCCACCTGGAGACTTGTCAGGACCATCTGCCCTAGCCTGGCTAGAAGAACAGAGTCACTGTATGATAGCTCAGCTTATTTTCAGAAGCTGGTCCCTGTCAAAGCTGAAAATGATTCCCCTTCAGCAATAGGAAGGAAAATATGGAGGAGAAACTTCCTAGCTTCCTAGTGGGAAGGGAGACAAGGAGTTTCCAGAAATCCTTGGCTGCTGGGAATAAGCTTCCTTCTGTAGTGGCCCATTCTACTTTCTTAACTGCAGTAAGGGCTCTATCCTCAGAGGGCTCCTCCCTCATGTCCCACCAGGAACACCTCTTCCAAGAGCCCTCCTCCTTTCATTTCAGGTTCCCAAGCTGTTAGAATTATTTGACAACATGGCTAAAACATGTCTGTCCACCCATTCATTCATTTATCCATCGTCCATCTGTCCACACATCTACATCTTCCTACCCATCTCGTCACTGCAGTGACACTGACTGAGTGTCTGCCCAGCCCCTGTTCTCTGGCCACTTCCAGCCCACCCACAGGGAGAACTTTCAGCTGTTACTGTCTCATGTCCCTTACCTCTCTGGCCATAGTTGATTGGTCCAGTAACGGACACCAAATCAACTAATTTAGCTAATTCTTTGACCACGTATTTGGGAATTAAGACCTAGAGACAGTCTACCATTGTGTCTGGAAATTTAACTTCAAAAGGGTAGAGCAGTCACGTTCTGCCACGTGAACTGAGAAGCAAACTCTACACTGAGAGATGGAAAAAGGAAGTTGATGTTCAGGATTGAACAGAAGTGGAAGACAGAGAGACTCCCAAGATGCTTCCAAGTACTAGTTCCATTCCTTGCCTGGGCACAGCAAGGCATTCCGTAAGAATCCCCTCTGGACTTACCAACTAATCCTGCTTCATTTCTTTAGCTGGCTGATCTGCATTACTTGCTCAGAATGAGACTGCTAAGATACGCTCACTCAGAGATATATATTAAGAACATATGACTGGCAAGCTAGGATTACGAAGACACAGAAGAACGTAAGACAGGGTCTCTGCACTCCAGGAGCGTGTTGTGCAGTAGAAAAGATGCAATGCGACAGGCACACACACAAGGCAGCAACGTGCCTAGCATCTGCACCGGCGCTCAGCCTTTCCTACTGCCTACGGGTACACCACACTCCTATCTAAAGCAGCCCCTCACTGGATCCCACCTGCTGGTGCCTAATCAAGGACATTTCTCCAAGAATTATTCCTGCTCGTTCCTGCATCATCAAACTTTTCCTCTCTGTTACATCTTTCCCACCAGTATACAAGCCTGCTATATTGTGTCTTCCTTTTTATGGAGGGGAGCGGGGCCGGGGAGAGGGGGATGGCCCTCTCACCAAGCTGGAGTGCAGTGGTGTGATCTCTGCTCACTGCAACCTCCATCTCCCAGGTTCAAGCGATTTTCCTGTCTCAGCCTCCCGAGCAGCTGGGACCACAGGCGTGTATCACCACGCCCAGCTAATTTTTGTATTTTTAGTAGAGACGGTGTTTCACCATGTTGGCCAGGATGGTCTCAATATCTTGACCTTGTGATCTGTCCACCTCTGCCTCTGAAAGTGCTGGGATTACAGGCGTGAGCCAAACTGTGTCCTTCTTTAAAAATAACTTCCGTTAACCCCACAGCCTCCTTCTGCCCCTGCTCTTATTTCTCCGCTCTCTGCTTTACAGAAGAATTCTTTGAAGGAGCTGCCTGTGCTCAATGTCTTCATTTTCTCTCTTCCAATCACGCTGTGACAGCCTCTATTGCACCAGAATCACTCTTGTCAGGTCACACGTGACTTGTACTTTGCCAAATCCAATGGCCAATTCCTATGCCCATCTGCCCAATCCATCAGCAGCACCGACCCTACTTCCTGACCCCTTTCTTCACTGCTTCTAGGGCACCGCTCTTTCTGGCTGCTCCTCCTCCTTCGCGGCCACTTTTCCTGAGCTCTTTCATCAGAGAAAAGAGCTCTTTTACCACCTAGACCTGCCCCAGAGCTCAGGCCAGAACCATTTTCCATTTTCTATCTACACTCACAAAGCAGGGGGTCCTAATTCTATCCTGTGACTTTCAAATATATGTATATTCATGAACCCCAAATTTCTATCTCCAGCCCAGTTTTCTGCCCTCAACTCCTAGTCATTATTTCTGACTGCATACATGGCATTTCCACCTGAAAGTATAAGAGGTATCAAGCTTACCACATCCCATCCAAGCTCCTTAGTCTACCCTCCAAGTCAGTTCCCACAAATCTCAGTAAAGAGCAACTTCATCCTGTTTGGCTCAGGCCAAGACCCAGAGGCAATCCTGTCTTCCTTTCCTTGTCTCACCTCGACTCCATCAGGCAATCTTGCTGGCCCTCCCTTAAGAATATATCTAGAATCTGATGACTCCTTGCCATTCCCCACCAACAGCATGGTCCACGTTCCTATCATCTCACACCTCAGTTTCTGCAGTAACCTCCTCACTGATCTCATTTGTGGACTCCTAGCCCATTCTTGGCAGAAGAGACAGAGTGATCCTTTTAAAATAATGTCAGATCATGGTGCTCCTTTGCTCAAAACACCACAATAGCTCCCTTTCATGCAACCCTCATGATCTGGGCCCTGTGAGCATGCTGGGCCCACCTCCCTCTCCCCCACCTTGCTGCACCCACCCATGTGGTCCTGCCAGCTGGCCTCACACAGCACAGGAGCACCATGCCTTGCCCCCTGAAGGGCTCTGTTTATTCCCTAGAGAGGCCTTCCCTACCACCCTGTGTAAAGCAGCAACTCTCTCTCCCAGGCACTTGCTATACCTCTTACTGTGTTTATTTTTCTTCATAGAACACATTGCTACCTGACATATTATACACTTATGAGTGTGTTGGTTTATGTCCATCCTTTCCATGACAAATATCAGCTCCATGACAGCAGGGACTTATCTGTGTTATTCACTGCTGTGTCCTCAGTTCCTAGAATAGTCCCTGGTATGGAATCAACACTCATTAAATATTTATAGATGAATAAATGAAGCAATGCACTGAGTGCTTAGGGCTACAGAGAAAGAAGCGATCACCTCCGGCTGGGGACTCAGGAAAGGCTTTTGTAGTGAGTGGCACTGGGACTCGAGTTGGAGGGTGGGCAGGATTTCAGAGAAGATGGGTTCAGTCCCTCTGATCTCCTGCTTCCCCTCAGCTCTCACATCCCCTGCACTTCCCCTTCACAGCACTAATCACAACACTGTCATTGACGATTACCTTGCCTGTCTCTCCTGCTAGATTTAGGTTCCATGTGGTAGAAACTGTATCTTACTCACTGCTCTATCCCCACCACCTAAGACAGTACCTGGCATGTGGTAATTACTTAAAAGAAGTCTGCAGGACGATAAGTAAATGAGTGAGTAGGGTGACAGGTGAACACCTGAGGTGGAAGGGCATTCCTGACAACGGAACCACAACAGGAGAGTGGGAGGGTGACAAGCAAAGGGCACACTGGGGAACAGTGTGCAGGAGCAGGGAGCAGGGGAGGCGAGGCTGCAGCTGCATCAGCCAGGAGCAAACTCTGGGCTGCCCTGGCTGTAAAGCGAGCCCCATGTTTCCACTGTGAGCTAAAGCCCCTGGTTACATCACTGTGTGGGGCCAGGGCCAGCACAGGTGTCCTCACCATCCTGTGAGATGATCTCATCCCTACAAGGGCCCAGCTCAGAGCTTCCCTGCCCCATGGCCCACCCAGCACAGCCTCAGTCTCCAAGGCATCTGAGTCCAGTCAGATACCCGGGCAAGACGGCAGGGGTGGGGCAAGGAGGGAGACGCTGAATGGACCCCACGGCCCCAGGGCTGGGGCCTCAACCCCCATGCCACCTGCTGGTGCCACTTCTACACAGTGGGGGCCAACCCAACAGCTTAGGGCTTCAGAGCCACAATGAGCTTTGGAAGTAAATTTATTTGGGAGAACACATTGCCTTCGGCCCTGAATAATGTGAACTATATTCTAAAATGCATAAAAGCAGGAGGGCTCTGGGCCCTTCACTCCCAGCTGTGCATTTGTGCATGTCCACAGGCAGATGTGCACACACTTTCGGCCCCGGCCAGGACAGCCCACAGTGGCACTTGAGCCTGTGGCCTTCCCTCAGCCCCTTCACACCCCATGGCCTCTTTCACAGCCAGCAGACCTGACTCAAGAACCCAGCTTGGAACCTGCAGACTTTTCCCAGCCATTCCCAGTTCGCAGAAGCTCTGATTCAAAAGAATAATGAACAGAAATTTAAAGTTTTCAAAAAGCTTTCAAGTACAAGAATTTTATTTGACCCTCAGAACAACTCTGTATAAACAAGTGCTAACATTAGTGAAGACTTACTGTGTGCCAGATACTGAGCTGAATACTTCTCATGTATTATCTCATCTAATCCTCACAAGATTCCTATGAGGAAGGTACTCTGTTACTAATCTCCAATTTAAGGATGAGGAAATCCCAGCTCATTAAATTAAAGATCTTGTCCAAAGTTATATAGCTAGCAAGCAGAAGCCAGAATTGAAATCCCTCTCTTCTATAACACAGGCTAATATTTTAAATCCTATTTTACACAAAAGGAAAATGAGGCTCAGAGAAGCTAAGTAACT